ATCGGCTTGGTAGGGCCCCTGGGGGTCTGGGACCATTGGTGGCCTGGTTATGTGGGGTCGGGGATGGGGCAGGGCACCAAGAACGGCCCAGAGGCTGTGCTGGAGCCATGTCATCCCCTAACACACCAAAACCTCCTTCCAACACAATCTGCCTGCTCCAGCCCAGATTCTAAAGGTTTAACCCTGGCGCAATAGGGACTTCTGAACTGTGCTGAAGTTTACTGGGTATATTTTATTATATGGTATGTAGTTTACTGTTTATATTAAATAGCCGTTTATCATGCTGCTAAGTTCCATCACAGTGTGTGTTTGCCTGCTCTCACCTTCAATGGCCAGCAGATGGCAGCACAGGAACGCCCGAGGCTCTGGGTTGCCACTGGGGGAAAAACGCACAAAGCATTCTGGTTGGATCAGGCTCAGGGAGCCTGCCCTGCTCCCCACCCCACCCTTCTGGGCTCGGCAGAGGAGTCCAGGGGTGGGGAGGACCCTGCCTGGAAGTTTGCTTGGGAGGTACGTCTGGCAGTGTCCTGGAGCTCTTTTCCTGGGCCCCGTGCCATGGGACGGCACCCATGCCTGACGTGTTGTGAGTGCCTAGCCAGCGTGAGCTGTTCCTACACATGTCCACTTCATTTCATTCTTACAGCAGCCCATTTTACAGATGAGGAAATCGAGGCACGGAGACGTGCCCTCAGCTCACCATCACCAGGTAGCAGATGACAGCAAAGCTGGGCTTTGAGCCCAGATCTCCCCCAGCGTCCAGCGTTGTTTTCTCTGCAGCCCGGGTGGGGGGGGGGGAGGGTGCTTGGTGCTGAATCACAGCAGCACCCAGAAGAAAGTGCACGGCTGCACCTGCCCCAGGCAGGGAACTGGGGAGGTGACTTTAGGGCACGCACGGTGCCTGGGCTGAGCAGAAGGGCGGGGACTGAGGTCCAGATGCTGGGCCAGAAGGCAGGAGACTGGAGCTGTGTCTGCTCTGTGCTGACCCGGTGCCTGTGACCTTGGGCAGGCCCATGGAGTTCTTGCTGGCACTAAACGAGGCCACTGGGCCCCCTGGTGCCCTGGGTGTGGCCTCGAGGACCCTATTCCCGCCCACTCCTGTCTCAGCCCCCACCCCCCGTCCCTGCCACAGGCTCTAGTGGTCAGGAGCACCAGAGGAAGAGGGGCGAGGAGGTGGGGTACAGTGGGGGAAGCTGGGAGAAGGGATGCAGGCTACAGCAGGGGGAGCCACTGGCCTGGGCAAACCCACCTGCTGGAGGCTGAGTAGTCACCTGGTGCCCCCCACAGTGGCCTGGTGCCCCCCACCCCACCCTGCTGCCTTGCCCAGCCACTAGCTGACCTCTCTGTCCCCCTGTGGCCGAGGGCATGAGCTGGGCTTGGAAGCAGAGGCCCCCGACTGCACTCCTCAGAGCAGCTGGGCAGCGAGTCTGTTCTTGAGCAGGGCTCTGGTCTGAGCCTTGTCTGCCCCACAGGAAAGGGGTAGGCTTGGGGGGTGGGGACCTTGACCACCAGCCCCCCGACCCTGTGTGAGAAATCCAGAGATCAGCTCTGCCCCCGAAGCCCTGCAGAGGCCTGATGGGGAAGGGAGCTGTGGCAGCAAGGCAAAGCCCGTGTATGTGTGCAGCTGAGTGTGCAGGGGCAGGGTGTGTGCGTGTCTGGTGCGGGTGCATACGCGCAGTTTCCTGCACCCCTCTGGTGCAGTCACCCCTTGGTGACTGGCCAAGGGAGGCAGGGCCTATAGGAGGCACGAGGCCCTCGGCAGCGGCACCACTGGCACGATCGGGAGCCCTGACTGTGCCTGGCCTTGGGCCACGCTTCGCCTGCATGGTTGAGGAATGCCGTGGGGGAGGCAGCCCTGTTCCCTCTCATTGATAAGGAAGTGCTCGTGTCCCTGAGGTCACACGGCCAGAAACGAGGAGCGTGATTCACCCAACAGATTCACTGATGGACGTTTTCTTGAGCACCTACTATGTGCCCGGCCCAGTGCATGACGAGACAGAGCCCGTGACGCAGACAGGCATTCGAGAGAGCAGGGAGCCGTGAGGTCAGCGGTCACTGAAGCTGGCTCAGCGCCTGCTCCAGGCCAGGACCAGCCAAGGCAGCGGTGGCCGCCGAGCCTGAGGTGGGGCAGGTGGCCTCGGGCCTAGGGAGGGGAGCCTGCGAGGGCCCTGGCGACTGTGTGTCAGGTGGGAGTGGGAGCTCGTGGGGCCCTGTGTTTTAGCCTCGGTCTCCCTTCCACCGCCTGCTGGCCCAGCTGGGCCCGAGGCCGGGGTGGGGTGGGGGGTGATACCCGGTCCCATCCCAGTCCTGCCGAACCAACCTGTGGGCTGGAGCCAGGAGTCGGTGTCTGCTGCGGGTGCCTGGGGATCCTGACATGCATCAATGCTTGGGTGCCTGGTCTAATGCCAGGCCCCACTTCCACCCAGAGTCCTCGCCAGTCCCTCTGTGAAATGGGCAGGTTTGCAGCCGCGTGTTCTTGTGGGAGGAAGGGCCCTCTCCTCTCCTGCCTCCAGGCCCTGCCACATGCTGAGGGCCGTGTAGGCCGAGTCCCTGGACAGGAGGGAGGCCCCGGGAGGGGGTGGAGGGTGCAGGGCAGGAGGAGAGGCTGCCCAAGGCCTGGGGCAGCCGAGGTCCCCTGAGCCCCTGGGGAGTGCTTTACCATGGTATCCCCACCTTGGCCACATGGGCCAGGGGCTGCCCCGGGAGGGGCCCAGCCTTGGCGGCCAGGACTTTTCCCAGGAGTGCAGCTGGGGTGGGGTCTGAGTACCCGATCTCCCCCCCTCCGCCCATGCCTGTCCACCCCAGGCCCCAGCTCAGGGCCTTCATCCCTGTCCCACTGCTGCTCCCAGGCACCACACAGCCTATCCTGGGGGAGCGGTCACAGCCCTCACCTGCCCATACCTTCCCCGAGTGCCCGCCCTGGGGCTGTGTTCTGTCCTCCCGCCCGCCCCGGGGTGGGGGGCTGAGGGGGCAGAGGCCTGGGCCCCGGTAGGGGGTGGAGCCCAGTGACGCAGGGCTGCGGCGGGGAGGCTGCCTGGGCTGGGGCCGAGCCAGAGCCTGTTGCGGCCGCTCTGTCCAGGCCAGATGGCCGCTGGCTCGGGTGGGAGGGGCTGCCGACCCGTGCAGTCGGGGTCCTGGCCCCGGGCACCGCACTCGGCCCTCGTCCAGGCTGGGCCTTCGGCCGCTGCTTGCCAAGGCCTTGCATCTTCCCTGTGTGGCTTTGGGGTCCCCTTGCCTGCACCCCCACCCCAGGCCCGGACCAGACCCTTCGGTCCCCACCCCACACAAGCCAAACCCAGGGAGGAAACCTAACTGCCTGCTGCCCCCTTTTCTCTACGTACGACTCAGGCTGGGTCAACTCCCGTTCATCCATTCACATCTTCCTTCCTTCATTCATTCACATCTTCCTTCCTTCATTCATTCACATCTTCCTTCCTTCATCCATCCACATCTTCCTTCCTTCATTCCTCCACATCTTCCTTCCTTCATTCATTCACATCTTCCTTCCTTCATTCATTCACATCTTCCTTCCTTCATTCCTCCAGCCAGCACCAGTGGAGGCCCTGCCCTCCACAGGGGAGCATGACCCAAGGACCCTAAGCGCACGTGCCGGCACTGCTGGGCGCGATGACAGAACCCAGGAGGGGCACGTGGGAGGGAGCAGAAAGTTCCAGAAAACATCCTGTGGGGTGAGTGGGTATGGCTGGGTCTGGCTGTGCTGTGCTGGGAGGAGGCTCTGGAGGAGGGAGGCAGGAGGGCTGGAGCCATGTGGCCTGTTTGGCTCTGTGAGGCTTTTGTGAGGGGAGGGGAGTAAACTTCGTGCCCTGGGGTGCTCTGCTCACGTGCCGACACAGCAACACGGCAAGTCTCCCGGTGACCCAGGGGTGGCCCTGTCACCCCCTTCTCAGACGAGGGGACGGCAGCACTGAGAGTCACTTCTCGATGACATTCTTCCAGTTGGTGGCCGAGCTGGGATTTCTGGTGGGCAGCCTGGCTCCGGACCCCTAGCTGCTTGTCGGGATGACCGCTTCTCCTGCAACATGGCCTCCTCCAGGAAGCCCTCCATCACCGAGTTTGTTTGTTCTGAGTAAGCAACACCCAGATGTGTTAAATGACCTAAAAACTGTAGGGTCCTCTGAAGATGGACCTGCCGATGCCATGCCCATGCCACCAGGTGAGCACGGTATTCTAAGTCCCATTTTGCAGACGAGACACCTTCAGTTCAGAGAAGCTTGTCTGTTGCCCAGCTGACTTGATCAGTGAGGCAGGCATGGGAGCCAGAGCCATTGTCTGCTGGATTCCCCACCCCTAGCCCCAGCCTTGCCAACTCTGCCCACCCCTGCTTTGACACAATGCTCAGCCTCTGTCTTAAAATATATATATTTATTTAATTGAAAGGCAGAGTGACATAGAGAGAGAGATCTTCCATCCGCTGGTTCACTCCCCAATGGCTGAGGCTGGGCCAGGCCCAAACCAGGAGCCTAGTACTCCATCCAGGTCTCCCACATGGGTGCAGGGGCCCAAGTATTTGGGCCATCACCTGCTGCTTTCCCAGGTGTATCAGCAGGGAGCTGGATCAGAAGTGGGGCAGCCAGGACCCAAACCAGTGCTCTGATATAGGATGCTAGCGTCTTAGGTTGCAGCGTAACCTGCTGCGCCACAATACCAGCCCTCGGCTTATGGTCTTGTCGGTCCTCCACCCCTGCCTTCCCCCATCCAGACAGGGCCTTCCCCTGGGGCCAGCGCCAGATGGCGCCCACAGCAGGGGCACGCCCAGTGTCTGGGGTGAGTGCGGGGCCAGCGGGGGCCCGTGCTGCTGTCTGGGTGCTTTGAGCAGAGTGGATGTGAGGCCTTTGGGATTCTGAGGAATGTTCTAGGGAGCCAGGCTTCAGTATTTCTGTCTGGGGCAGGAAGGGCATCCCAGCAGAGGGAACAGCATGTGCCAAGGGAGCTGATCAAGATCAAGAGATCGCTTTTACGGCGGGACTTGGGAGTTGTTCCTCGGGCGCCAGGAACAATGGCGCTGGCGCTCTTCGGTGTGAGTGAGCAGTTCTGTGTAGATGCTGAGGTGCAGGAGAAAATTCCAAAACATCTGGAAGATACTTAATGGAAAATTACTTGGATAAAGGCTGACTGACTACCAGTGCAGGTCGCTGTCTTCCCATTGAAAGGACAGCTTGCTGAAAAGTGCAGCCATTTCTGGCTAATCCTGGAAGCTTATCTGTATGAAAAGCTATTGAAGAAAAACATCCAGAAAGAAAAGGTGGACATGAAAAGAAAACTTAGTTTTGGATTCTACTTTTTATGGGCTTTTTGTTTCCTTTGTAAACAGACTGAAACAGTGGGGTTTTCTTAATGAAAGGTTGTCTTCAGCTAACTAGCCCTGTAAACAAATATTCTGAATATGACTATTTCATATTTAGTCACCTGTTTGTCTTTAAAATATTTGTAATTAAAATAATATTGAGTTAAATTTATAATGACATGTGGGAAAATCTTTTGTGGGATGTTATTGGAAAAATGGCTGTTTGCTCATCACAGGATTAAGATGGGACACCTTGACTTTATGCTGGGCACTTGTATTTCAGAACTGAATGAAGTAAGAGCAAAGTGGAAATAAAAGAATTATTTGGGGAGGAATGCCACACATGAAAATAAGTGATTGCTAACCAAATCACAGACTACTTAGTCCTATGCTAATTACAACCTTCAAAGTAGGGATGCTCAAACAAAAGAATGGGAACCTGAAAGTTTGTGAGGCATGGTGCCTCATGAAACATCAGGGTTAAAACTAGTAAAATACACATAATGCATTTAGTATGAACAGCAATAGCATCTAACCTAAATGGTTGGGCTTCACATGTAAATAGCTTTGTAAATAAATGCTTACCAAGCCCCCCCCCCCAAAAAAAATCAAGAGATCAAGATCGGGTCACTGTCCTGTTGGCCTGAGTGTGGGCAGGAGATGGGCAGAGAGGGCGGGGTGGGGTGGAGGGACGGGCTGGGGTTGAGACAGGCAGAGGAGCTGGGGCTGGCAGTGCCACGTCCCGCAACGGAGGGCCCGAGCTCAACTCCTGGCTCTGGCTCCTGACTCCAGCCTCCTGCCAATGTCCACCGAGGGAGGCACAGTGACGGCTCAGGTAGGTGGGTCCCTGCCACCCACGTGGGAGACTTGGAGTTCCTGGCTCCTGCCTTTGGCCTGGTCCAGCCTGGGCTGTTGTGGGCATTTGGGGAGTGAACCAGCTGATGAGAGCACGCTCTCTGTCTCACATAAAAAAGCTAAGTTGGTAAACCAAGGTTTGTCTTTGGAGCCGGGGCTCTGGCATGGGGGCTGGGGCAGTCAGGGAGAGGGGACCTTGCTGAGTGACCTCGAGCAGGTCACGTGCCCTGTCAGAGGTCCCTGAGGGCCCCTCAGGCACGGCCCAGACTCGCTCTGCGGTCGCTGCGGTCCCGTCGTCCTAACAAGCCAAGAGCCCCGGCTGCGTATGGAATCTCTTTAATGCCCGATCTCCAGCTGTCGCGCGTGGCTCTGGTCCACACGGCGCTCACAAGGGCGCCTGCGTGGACATGCTCTTCTTGACTCGCAGGCCCTTCCTCTTCTGTAGCCCCGTCCGGGACAGGCCGGCATCGTGGGCCTGGGCCTGGGCGTGCACATGGCCCAGCTCCGAGGGCGGTGGCCTCAGGGGCATCAGAGGAACCAGCACGGCCACTGGCATCAGCGGCGTCAGCTCGTCCGAGGCCCCAGGGGAGGCGGGGGGCAGCTCGGTGGGATCCAGGTTGGCATCGCTCCAGCCCTCCAAGCTCTCGCTGAGGCCTTCTGGACTGGTGGCTTCGTCCTCAGATACGGGGACAACAGCGGCCGGGTCTTCCCTGGGGGGGCTCTCCAGGTCTCCTGCCCCTTGGTCGACGGCCGCCTCCCACTTGAAGACATCTCTGCCTTCCTGCTTCTGCTCAAAGCCGCACAGCGCTGCCACAGACAAGGTAGGTGTCCTGGCTCTGCCCTGACCGCTCCAGAAGAGGCCAAGTTCCTGGCGGCAGGCAGCCAAGGCCAGGCTGGTGAGCAGGGTGCTGGACACCAAGTAGAGCAGGGCAGGCTGGCCCATCTCCATGAGGACCATGGCCCCGAAGGTGGCCAGCAGGCCCACAGCATAGGCCACGGTGCAGGCCACGAAGTAGAGCTGGCGGGAGTGGACTTGCACGTCGAAGCGGTGACAGTAGGCGACCAGGAAGCCAGGGACCACGATGTCCCCGAAGCCGAGGATGGAGAAGGGCTGGTCGCACAGCGTCAAGGCCGAGAAGCTGAGCCGGGGCACTTTGAGCACCATGGGCAGCCGCTCCGGGCTCGAGGAGTGTGCGGGGCCCGAGGCCACCTCCACCATGATGCTCTCGCCAGTGCCGGTGAAGAGGGGCGTGACGAACACGAAGAAGACGTCGAAGGCCAGCAGGGCCAGCAGGAAGGAGGCGCAGTTCCGCAGCGTGGGCAGCCGCACGCGCCGCAGGACGAAGAGGCAGTAGGCCACGCCCAGCGCGTCCTGCAGGAGCCACGCCCAGCGGTCCTGGTTGCGGCAGGCGACCCAGAGCAGGGTCACCGCGGCGCACAGGCCCAGCAGCAGCAGCAGGGGCAGCTGCGGGCAGGCCTGGCGGTGGCGCCGCGGCAGGTGGCGCACCAGGGGCTCCAGGCAGCTGTAGAGGCCGGTGCCGGCGCCCAGCCCGAAGATCCCGATCATGACGTAGACGAAGCGGTCGTAGAAGAAGTAGAGCAGCAGCATGATGGAGCAGGATATGACGACCACAGCGCCCGTCATGGCTGGTGTAAAGTCCACGGCGCTGTCGGCGTCCTCTTCCTCCAGGGCCCCCCAGCCCCTCGCGGCTGCGGCGGCTCCCGGCTGATGTTGTCCGCCGGGCCCCCCTCCCCCTCGGGCCCGGCGCCGCAGCAGCTGGTCGGCCTCGGTCAGGCCAGCCCAGTAGCCGCCCAGGGCCACGGTGCCTACAGCCAGGATGAAGATGATGACCATGTTGACGTCGATGATGGGCTCGGGGGGCGCGTACATGGCCACGTGGACGCCGCCGTGGCCGTGGGTGTGACTGAGGATGTCCAGCATGTCGGTGTAGCGCAGCACGGCCACGGGGATGGTGAGGTCGGGCAGGGGCTGGCGGGGGTCCCGGGCCGCGGGGGTGGTGTCTGAACACTGCTGGTCCTGGACCCGACTCACGATCAGTAGCCCGTGGGCGCCCCGACCCTGCGCCAGCCAGCCCTTGGCATAGAAGCTACAGTTGCCTCTCATGACCATGGCGGTGGTGTGGCGGAGGGGCTGCTGGTCTGGGGGGCTGGGCCGGGCCTGGTGGAAGGCGTCCCCGCCTGGGCACCAGGGCGTCGTGGTGCTGATGTGCAGGGGCAGGAGTGGGGCGTGCTGCAGGTCCCGAGGGAGGTCGACGTAATCAGAGCTGAACAGGACACAGTAGTCTTTGCTCCAGTTGTCCGACACCACGTGGACCACGCCATACTCCCCCCGGGCCGCCGTGCTGGCGAGGAGGAGGAGGAGGAGGGAGCCCGTGGGGAGGAGGAGACCCAGGCACGCCATCTTCCTCGGCCGTCTACTACGTCGTCCCGAGGCGGCAGCTGCCTTCTGCCCACTTCCCCTCCCAGGAGCGGGTGTGGCCTTGTGTCACAGAGCAGCGCGGCCCCCTGTCCTGGAAACCAGGGCCACACCTACCCAGTCATAAAGCTGTGGCAGGGTCTCTCTCTGGACTCTGTCCCCCAGCCTGGCTCCAGGCTCAGCTCCTGCCCCGGGGGACCAGACCTGCATTGAAACACGAAGTGATGGCACCCTGGGCCCTCTGCTCCTGATGCACCGGCCATCATGGGCAGGCATTGCTCCTCTCTGGACAAAGACGTAAGGGCGTTGGACCAGAGAGGGGCTGAGGCCCCCGAGCTCTGAGCACTTATCCTGTGCCAGGTCCCTTGTCTGTGTTCACTGTGTCCCTGCAAAGGGGACTGGGGCCATAGGCCACCCCTCGGAGCTGGCTGCTTTCCCACTGGGCACACGGCCGCAAATTGTTTCCAGCCTGCCTGGCAGCGGAATGACCACGTGACCTGGCTTTGCCGGTGGAAACCGAGCAGAAGTGATGGGAGCCCTCAGGGGCCTGGGCTGATGGGGGTGTGGCGCCTTGTCCATTCTCCCTGTCCCTCTCTCCAGTCACTCGAGGATGGGCTGTGCCCCAGCTTCGACGACAAGGAGGAGAAGGATGTCATGAGGGACGGGGAAGAAGAGTATGTGTGTGTATGTTTCGGGGGGAGGGGGGCTGGGTGCCTGCACAGAGCCAGCGCCTGGGACCCAGGCTCTGACGACAGAGAAACTGGCTTCCCGTGGGTCTCTGTCCCAAAGCACCCATGTCCCCGGCGAGGAAGACTGAGGCTGACAGCCCCGGCTATAGCTCAGAGGCTCTTGTGTGGGTCACACCGTGGGCTCTTGATGTCTCTGGGACATTCGGAGCTGGATTCTGTGCCACCCTCCCTGCCCTGCCCCTGAGGCCGGCAGGGTAGAGTTCCCACCGAGAGAGGGAACTTGACGAAGCCCGGAGCCCCAGGCCTGGGCTCTGCACACCCAGCTCTGCCCGCGCCCTCGCTCAGGCCGCCTGGGACCACCCTCGCAGGCCACTCCAGGCCCCCATGAGGTGGGGGTGGTGCAGGTAGGGGCTGGTCCAGGCAGCTGGTATGTGGGTGGGGGCGCCTGGGGCCTGGAACCCAAGGGAGGGGTTTGGGGACTGGGCAGGGGATTTGGCTTCCAATGTTCCTGTGCTCTCCCCGCCAGTCTGTGGCCATCCCTGCCACCTCCTGGCCAGACCCAGCTTCTTTCTTTAAGCAGCTCCGCTGCTGGCCGCCAGCAGGGCAGCGGGCGCACAGTGGCTCTGGATAACTGTTTCAGGACAGGGCTCTGGCCCAGGGCCGGAGCACAGCGAGAGTCCAAGCTCAGATGCACGCGCCTCCCCCGCCAGTGCGGCTCTCAGCCCCCAGCCCTCAGCTCCAGCCTGAGGCCTCTGGGCCCTGCTCTGCTCCCTGCCCCAGGCCCCTGACAGCACAGCCCCTGCCAACTTCACCCCTGCTTCCAGAAAAACATAGCCCCTTCTTTTTCTCTAAGATTTACTTATTTATTTGAAAGACAGTGTTACAGGGAGTAGAAAGAGATCTTTCACCCACTGGTTCACACCCGAATGACCACAATGGCTGGGGCTGGGCTAGGCCAAAGCCAGGAACCTGGAACTCCAACCAGGTCTCCCACGTGGTTGCAGGGGCCCAAGCACTTGTGCCATCTTCTGCTGCTTTCCCAGGCACATTAGCAGAGAGCTGCATCAGAAGTGGAGGAGCCGGGACTCGAACTGGTGCCCATATGGGATGCTGGCACCGCAGGAGGGCTGTTTAACCCAGTGCGCCACAGCGCCGGCCCCTAGGGTCCATGCTAGTGGCCTCGTCTTGACTTGATTACATTGGCACAGACCCTGTTTCCAAGTGAGGTCCCATTCACAGCTGACCCCATAACACACAGGGTGCAGAGCGCCCCCATCTCTCCTGAAGCACCTCCTCTGCCAGGAGTCTGACCCTTGTCGCTCTGAGTCATCTCCCTGGGAAATCCGCATGGACCAGTCGCAATCTCCAGCCCCGGCTGCCAGGCTGTGAAGTGGCAGTGACCTGAAGTGACCTCACCTTGCAGAGCAGTCGCAGGCAGAGCCAGTCGGGACCTGGCAGCCTCCTCCCACCCAATTGTTCGCATTTGTCTCATCCACATCTAAATTGACAGCAATGTTTTTGTGACTCATATCGTGTCTTTGAAAGCATTCAGCTGACTGGCATGAGAAACGTCTCTCCTTGTTTGTATACTTCTGATTCATCCATTAATATAGCATTTAATTGGATCACAAACAGTAATTACAGTGGCGAGGGAACTGTTGGAAACATGTCCAGGAACAGGCAAATTCTGTCGGACTCATTCCACTGACACGAACTGTCCAGAAGAGGCCCCTTGACTGGCGGGGGCCAGCGGCTGTGGCTGTGGCTGCGGTGGGGGGGGACGCGGCAGCTGCCGGCTAGGGCTGGGGTGGGACAGCCTCCCGGCCTCTGTGCTGGTGATGGCCGCGTGGCATTGCCAGTGGAGCTTTGATTGACACGGAATCACTGTACATACTTAATGGGGTGTGAACACATTGAATGCCATTGAATTGTGCACTTGAACGTGGTTGGAATGGCAAGCCTGTTGTATGTGTTTTATCACAATAGGAAAATAAAACAAGGGCCAATTCCAATCTCTCCAGTGGCACTGTTGCCACCTGCTCCCTCCCCGTAGCGCTGGAAAGGAAGCTGTCAGAGGCAGGAGCCCAAGGTCGGCCCCTCCATGCCCAGCCACCCTCGCTGGATGCCCACTGGTACCCGAGGCCACCTCCCACTGTCTCTGTCCCCACCTGCCTGGGCCCAGTGGGTGGGAGGCTGGGCAGCAGGGGTCTCCAGGATCTCCAGGATGCCTTGGGGGACAGAGGGATGGGGTTGCAGTCTGGCAGCCTGGGGGGGGGAGGGTCTCTGGAGCCATCTCCAGTGATGTCATTGGTGTCCCCCATACACAGAGAGCTCTGGAAAACAGACTTGGCCCAGCAGGACCTACAGGGATTGGCCGGCAAGGGTAGGGGTAGGGGTAGGGGTGATGCTCTGAGGTAGGTGGGGACAGGCTGGGGACGCTGGGGGTGGGGCCGAGGAGTGGGTCGCCTGAGACCCTGGCAGCCAGGCTCTGAGTGCTGTAGGGCCACAGATGCAGTAAGCAGAATCTCCCTGGGTGGGGGCATTGGAAATAGCGGGGCAGGCAGGGCAACCTCGCTGGAGCACCTGCGGGGTAGGATTAGGGGGAGATGCCCTGGAGGCTGGGGGCCCTCGGGCAGGTCTCTCAGTCTCTGGGTGCGTTCAATGGCGTGAAGACCAGATGATCCACAAGGGAGGGGCTTTTCTGCCGGTCCACCACCGAAAGCACCTCTTCGGTGTGGGCTGAGATTGGGCAGCTGAGTTTGAGGCCAGGCGCTGCATGAGCTGACCCTGAGATGATACCCCGGGGCTGGGGGCCCCCCACCACCTGCGTGGGTGCGGGGTGGTGACGCCGGCTCCTGGCAGCCATGGCTGCGCTGTTTGCAGGCACCGCAAGGGTAGGGGATGTGTGGATGCACAGCCCACATCACTCCCACCCAGCGGGACTCTGTGCTGGACTCTGGCTAGCGCTGCCTTCCTGGGGACACTCAGAAATCTGGGGCCTCCTCACTGCCCTCCTGACCCACGGCTACCCCGGCAGCCCTGGCCTCTGAGAAGCTGGAGCCCCCAGACTTGGGCAGCAGAGGGTAGAGTCCTGGACTCTCAGGAGCCACCAGCCCGGTCCTCAGCGGACCCAGTGGGCAGGGTCCCGTGGCGGGGGGCCAGCTGACCGTGAGACAGTGCGCCCTGTGAAGGACTGGGGGTTGCGAGGCCTTGGGCAGATGCCCGCACCGCAGTTCAGGTGGGTTGTGTGGGCTCCGAGACCTCCCTCCTCCCCTCCCTGGCCCGGTGCCCAGAGGGTGGGGCTGACCGGCCAATGGCAGTGGGGACTGATGTGGCCCGGAGGGGAGTCCCTGGACACTCAGGGACAGCCGAGCCTGGGCTGGGTTTTCCTCTGCTGCTGTCCGGCACCCAGGAGGAGGGTCTCGGTGTGTGTGGGGGGAGATAGATGCAGGTGGGGGACGCCGTGGGCTCTGGTGTGGAGAGGAATACTTCCGGGCGATGCAGGTGCCCAGCGAGCTCTGGCTTTCAGGCTGTCCCGGCCGTGCTGGAAGGAGGCCCCTCTCCGCAGAGGCTCTGGATGGGAGGAGCCCGACCTCCCAGGCCTCCTCCCGCTTGCCTGGGGCTCCCCAGCCGCTCCATTTCTCTGAGCACTGCCAGCCTGGGCGCCCTCCCACAGTGTCACGGCCGGGCCCTTCCCTCAACCGGGCACACGCAGCAAAGGTGACACCGCCCAGGGACAGCCTTGTCAGGTGAAAGGCAGAGGTGAGTAAGACGTCTCCCTGGAGGTCAGCAGGCACCCTTGTGGGGCTTCTCTCCTTCCCCAAACGCCTTCCAAGGCCCTTTGGAAGCCATGGGCCCATTGCTGTCCCAGCATGCTCTGGGCCCCACCCCATCTCTATAAGGGTAGCTTAGGGAACCGGCAGAGCAGGGCCTCCAGCCATCCGGGGCTCTTCCCTGGGTCCAGTGCCACTCCAACCTGGGTTCTCTCCTCTGGCAGGAGCTGTGGAGCACCCCACCCCCCCCATGCATGCATGCACACACACACACACACACACTCACACACATGCATGCACACAATACATTCACACGTCATATGCACGCACACACACACACGCATGCACACAATACATTCACACACACACATGCACACACGCACAGGCCCTGTCAGCCAGACCCAGGGGCGAGGCCCAGGCTGTGTGCACCGGGGTGGAGTCCTGCTGTCCCACCCACCCTGGGCTCTTCTCACACTGACCCCCATGGGCCTGCCAGCCCTCCTTGCAGACCATGTCATGTGGAAAACGCAGAGGAACTGAAGCTGCCTGGGGCAGCCCCCCCCAGTGGCTGACGGGAGTTGATGTCTCAGTACCCAGCACCCTTCAGGCCGGGGTGCTCCACACCCCAGAGGGCCCCCACCCTCCCTGGCCTCCCTTCCCCCAAGTCCACACTAGAATCTTGTCTCGAGGAGGCTCCGAGCCAGGTCAGCAGTGACAGCCCACGCAACTCTCATGCATGCATCCTAGACTTCTGCTCCTCACTCAGCGCCTGTCCTGAGGCCCACTCCCGCCCATCGCCACCGCCCCCCTTGGCTGAAGCCGGCCCCTCACCCGTGGCATCCTTCCCTGCATGGCTAATCCAGCCATGGCCACCTCCTTGCCCAGAACTGTCCCTTCCTCACGGGGCCCTGCAGCACCCCGGGGCTCACCTCGCACCTGCTCTCCATGGGGTGTGATGGTGCCAGCCTCCAGAGACCCCTGGAGGGGAGGCCCCCTCCCCCACTGCCCCGGCAAAGTCCAGGCCTCCACAAATGCCGGTTGCAAAGATAACTGTTATTATTCCCATCGGCTCCTTCCTTGGAGCCAACATCTTCATCCCAAGAGCCCCCTGTCCAGAGACCTGCTCGGGCTGCCCAACCCCTTGGCACGTTTGGGTGGGCAGAGGCTGGGCCAGTCCGCGTGTGGTGGGAAAGCCAGCACTGGTCTCTGGGTGTCCCCAGAGCCACTGCATACCAGGGCACTCGGCAGAGGGGCCCCACGCCTGCCTTTGCCCAGCTCACGAGCCTGCCCCAGAGCGGGTGGCTGCAGGGCCCCCGGGACCTTCTGCCTGCCTCAAAGGAGGGCTGGCCTTGGCTGGGGCCCACCATGACTATCCCCCATCCTCTCATGAGAGGAGAGCCACCAGGGCCGGGAGGTGACAGGAGCTGGGGGTGCCATGGCCTGCAGGCAGCAAACGCCCTAGAGCAGCAGGGCAGGGCATTTCTGGAGAAAGTGCCACAGCATCAGTGACCATCGGGTGGCCTGGGAGGGACTTCTGGCAATGCGGCCCGACCACATCACCCAGCTCCTAATGATGTCTCCAGGGCTCCTGACCTCATGGTCTTGGTTCCCTGTCCAGAGGCATCACCGGGACCTGGAGCTAGCATCATGGTCATTGGAGCTGTCCTGAGAGTTTCCCATGATGCCCTGGGACAACAAAGACCCCCTCCCCCCACAAACTTGGCTGCTGAGGGTGCTGGGTCTCCAGTGGGTGGGGGTCAGTCTGTGCTCTGGGAGAAGGCGGCTCCCACTGTGGGGTCTCCAGCCTCCATTCCTGTTCCCATCCCACAGGGAGGATCGGGGCCCAGCCCAGTCCTACGGGTCAATTTGCCATCGTGCGCCTAGAGCTGTTAGCCAGGGCAGGGTGGTCCTGGCCCTCCCAGGCTGTCCTGGCCGCTGCTCCTGGGGCAGGGCCGTGGGGACGTGCTGGTGGCTCCACAGACGGGGGTCGGCAGGCCTGGCCATCACACTCCCAGCCGTAGATGTCCGGGGGCCGTTCGGTGGCCCTGCAGCTCAGAGCGCTGTGGACTGCTTGACGCTGTGGAAGCTGACGCGGGTGGGGGAGGTGGGGATGGACATGGCGCGGGCCACACGGGCACGGATCGAGTGCTTGTCCTGCCACCGGTGCCACCTCTTCCGGATGGCAGAGCGGACCTGTGGGCGGGGGCAGCGTATGACGCCGAGCCCGGAGCTCAGGACCCCTCCCCGCCCCTGGGCTGCCACGAGGAGCTGTCCAGGTGTGCAGGACACAGGGGCCACTGCCGATTTCCATATTTGTTGGGACAGTTTCCCAGGGGTCCCAAGGAAGGGGCACCTCTAATTCATACAAAGGCGCCCTCTGGCCTTTGCCACACAGATTGCCCACCTTCAACCCACACGTGGCCCCTGGCCCAGGGCTTGTGGGCGAGGCTGAAACCCCAGCTTCCGGCCCCTGTGCCCACTGCCCCTGACAGCAAGAGTAGGGGTAGAGCGGGCAGTATTAGGGACCCTCAGCCATCCGGAGCCAGGGCGCTGGTCCTCACCTCACTGTTGAGGAAACAGTAGAACACGGACACGAAGAAGCCCTGGGGGGGAGAGAGAAGACCGGTCAAAGGCCCGGGGGCGCCCCCTTCCCATCCCCAGCTTCCTGAGGGCGGGCTCGAGGCTGTACCTGGAAGGATTCCAGGAAGGAGTTGAAATAGATGAAGACGACGCGGGAGACCTCGTCCTCGCCGGGGTGCACGAAGAACAGCATGTAGGTGATGCCCAGCAGCGGCAGCAGCACCAGCGTGGCCTTCACAGCCTTCCTGGGGTCGGGCGAGGGCGGCCGAGTCAGGCCCCGCCCAGGAGCATGGCCGGCGCGGGGGCGGGGAGGCGGGGACCACCTACCTGTACTGGATGGTCTCAGATGTGGTGGACGCCCGGAGTTTGGTCATGAGGATGCGGACGATGTTGAAGAGGAAGATGAAATTGATCTGCAGTGGGAGTGCGGGGGGCTGGGCGGTGGGGGCTGGCCGGGCCCCTCTGGCCTTGGCCCCTCCCCGCCGTTCTCTTTCCAGCTCATTCATGCTGGCACCTCCCCTCCTGGGGTGGCCCCTCTCCTGTCCGCAGGGAGGAGGGGGGTCACCCCTCCCTGCTGTGCCCTGGCCCCTGCCCTCGTCCCGGCTCTTACCAGCAGGACCAAGATCATGGGCCCTTGGTAGATGTAGTCGGTGTACACCCCCGGCCTTTTGCCAAACCAGCACCTAGAGGGCCAGAGAGGGCGGGGCCACCTGAGTCCACTCCAGTAGCACAGGGAGGGGCGGTGCTTGGCCGGGGCAGGGATGGGGCTGAAAGCCAGGAGCGGGGTGCCCCCATTTCAACCCTGGTGGCAGGTCAAGCCACCTTATCCCACTGCAGGGCCTCAGTGATCCTGTCTGTAGAATGGACAGCACCCTCCATGGACAGCAGTCAAATGGGAGACAAGCAGTACAGCAGGGAGACCCAACCACCCCGGCTTCCTCAGCTCTGCCCGTGGCCCCTGCTGTAGCTGAGCACTCCCGCTGGGGGCTGCTGGGGAGGGAGGGAGGGCGCCCCCCCCCCACAGCAATCTCTGACTCCAAGGGGCTGCGGCCTGAACCACCGAGAGGGGACACTCCACAGGCACCACCTGTGCAAGAGGCACAGCTGCTCAGCATTTCCCTAAATCTCCCTCCAACAGCTCCGCGGCCTTGTGCGCGTGCAGATCCACAATGGGCATCTCACGATGCTTCCAAAAACCGGAAATGGGCTTTTTTTTTTTCGTGAAAGCGCCTGGTTTTTTAAAAGTTGGCTACAAAACTCAAGTTCTCAAAAAGCCCCAGGTAGGCCAAATGGTCTGGCCTTTCTTTGAGCCCGCACGCTCCAGATCCCTTCTGCTGCAGTGTCTGCATCCCACCACCAGGTGGGGCCACTCAGACGCTCTTCCTCTGCTCGTGCAGACCGCACACGCCCTGCTCACCTGCAGGCACTGGCACCACCTCCTGGGCTGTTTACTCCCCCTGCTCCTGCCCTGGGCGCAGGCCCCTGACCGTATCTCCCACAGCTGGCTCCCGGCTGAGACCCCCAACTCCCACCAGCTGCGCAGACACAGTGGGTACTGAGCCTGTGTTGGGAGGCGTCATCCTCACAAACCCAACAGGTAACTTTCCAGGCCCCTTGTCGAGCCCAGTGGGGCTGAGCTGCCTTCTCCCCACCCCTGTGGGGAAGCAGAGGGGCCGTGGATGGAGGCCACCTGGACGCAGGTGGGACAGCGGGGGCTGGAATGCTCCTGTGGCAGAGATCTGCCCCCACCACCACCACCATGGCCGCCTCTCGCTGTGGTTCTCCAACCTCGGCTGTGCACTGGCATCAGTTTTCTAAAAATCCCAGCGCCCAGCCTCCCGCAACTCCCGACCTGTCACGTTGAACTCTCCGGGGCGGAGCCCAGGCAGGCACAGAGACGGCGATCTCCCATCTGCTGGTTCACTCCCTGAACACCCACAACCGCTGGGGCGGGGCCAGGCAGAAGCCAGGAGCCTGGAACTCCATCCTGGTCTCCCATGTGGGTGGCAGGAGCTCTAACCACTGAGCCATCACCTGCTGCCTCTCAGGGCGCACAGTAACAGGAAGCTGGATTTGAGCTGGGACTCAACTCCGGGCTCTCTGACATGGGCGTGGGTATCCCGAGTGGTGCCTTAACCACTGCACCCAACGCCCACTCCGTGGGTGCTCTTCATAGCTTGCTAGGTGCGTCGAGCCCACCGTCGGGGGTGGGGACACCGGAGCCTACTTTATGAGGATCCGTGGGGCTGCTGCACTGGAACGAGTCCCAAGGCCTTCTGGGTTACCTTCCATGGAATCCATGGACTCCTGTTAAGACTGGTCTAATACTAACAGAAACATGTCCCCCGGCACTGTTCTAAATGCTCTGTTTATGTTCATTAATGTCACCCCCACAACCACCCTTGTAGGCAGGCACGACGAGTAGATGCCCCTTTTACAGATGTGCAAACTGAGGCAGGTGGCAGTCATTAGCCCAATGTTCTGCTGCTATTCGGTGACGCAGCCGCCATCCTGGGCAGGCTGGCTCCAGCGACTGCTCTTGGTAAAGCTCCGGACGGATACAGGGGCCTGGACCCTGCCCGCCCCGCCCTGCCTCAGGCCATGTCCTGGGAGAGAGCCTGAGAGCGAGTCCAGCTGCCCACTCTGCCTCCATCGCTGCAGAAGCCGAGGTCCCGGCCAGGGAGCCTGCAAAGCTCCCCCCACCCCCGGCCCTGGGGCGATGGGCGGAGCTGGGTGAGCAGCCTGAATGGGGGTCAGCAAGGGGAGGTGGCGACTTACTTCTCATTGTCGTAGTACAGCTTGCCGATGGCCCAGGCCACAATGATGGGGAAAGGCACACCTGGGGGAGAGACAGGTCAGGGAGCCCCTCGGCTGGGGCTGCGGGGATGGGCGGGCGGGGGCGGGGCTCACCCCAGCCGATGCAGACGAACATCCACTTGCGCAGGCGGTCGGTGGAGTAGGTGAGCACAATGGCCGTGTGCAGGTAGCAGCCCTCGCCGAACATCCAGAAGAAGTTGGTCACGTGGAAGTAGTTGTAGGCGGCTGTCACCAACCTGCACCAGCCCTGCCCACCCCCCACCAAGACGGTGATGAGCTGGGGGCAGCCTGGGCCCGGGCCTCGTCCCACCCCGGGCAGCACTGCTCTGCAGGGCAGCCCCGCCCACGGCCCTTCCTCTGACCCGGGCTCGGCCCCCGGCACGCACCACGTTGCTCTGGTGGACCTCGGGGCTCATGGTGAGCTGGACCACGAACCACGTGGCGTTGCGCAGGATGAAGGCCGAGATGAGGTTCCAGTGGATGATGTTCCTCAGGCACCGGATGCTCCTGTGGCGCCGGCACCGGCACCGGCAGCAGGAGGACGGGCCAGCGGGAGAGACAGCTTGAGGGCTGGGCTCCGGCATCGCTCCGCCCAGAGGTGCGGTCGGGGAGACTGAGGCTCGGAGCAGGGCCGGGTCACACAGGGAGGGAGGTGGCCGCAAGACTACCTCCGGCCACCCAGATGGAAGCTCCTGGGGGCGGAGCCCGACATTTCCTGGGGAGCCCCACCCCCAGCAGCGGTCCTGCAGCTCCACGCCATTCCAGGAGTCAGCCGACTCCGGCAGGAAGTCCCTCCCCAGCCCTGCCGCTCAGCTCCAGCACCCATCTGTCCCCATCCCTGGCTGGCCCCGCCACCTGCACCCTTGGCAGTAGGGCCGGGACCCAGGCACATTCAACCTGGAGGGGGCCGCCACCTGCCTGGCCCCCGACAATGGGAGCAGCCCAGCCTGGGTGTGGGTGACGGAGGTGAGCCTGGGCCTTGTCCCTCCCCAAGCTCCACCCCAGTGGCCATCACCGAGGGGACAGAAGCGGTCCTGCCAGGGGCTCTGGGAGACCCGAGGCATCTGTGACGCTGCCACCCCGCCTCTTACTTCCTCACTCTGCTCAAGGCCCCCAGGGAGCAGGAGGGCGTGCCCGGGCCTCCTCACCTGAGCCGCAGAAAGAGGACAAAGGCCACCAGGAGGGCCACCAGGGAGACGCAGTGGCCCAGGTAGTTGATGATGACGGCCACATGGTAGTGCACCTTGCTCTTCTTCTAAGGCGGAGAGAGGGGCAGAGGTGAGGCCTGGCACTGGTGGGCGGGAGCAGCTCCCCCAGGACAGCGCGAGCAGGGGGGAGAGGTGGCACACAATGGTCACCGCCCCTTCCTGAGCCCCTGCTGCGTCACTCACGGCCGGGGGGCACCATGCCTCCGTGGTTGCTCCGGGCTTTCAGCCGCATCTCCTTGCTGCCCCCGTGCCTGCTTCGCATGCACACAGCAACTGCCTTGCCTCTGTGTCCTTGCAGCCCAAACACCAGGTGGCACCGCAAGGGGCAGAGGCACCCGCCTGTGGACTTCCGCCCTCCACACACTCTGAGCCGAGTCACCCCCACATCCCGGCCACCTCCAGCGCCAGGAAGGACGCCGTGGCCCTCGTGCACAGGTTTGCTCTCTGTTGCTGTCGCAGCGCGAGCCGGGGCAGGAGCCTGAAGGTGATGGTGACTCACTGGGCAGGAAGAGTGATCCCAAGCGTGGTGACCACTTGATGGCACCCGATTCCAAAACCGCCTCTTCCTCCCGTCCATGGCCCAGGACTCCAAGGCTGACAAAAGGTCCCTGTCTCCCAGTGGGAGACAGACTGGTCCCCAGCTCTCTGCAGACGCCCGCCTCCCTAAACAGTCGCCACCCCCTTTCTGGATGCCCAGATTGGGGCAGGCAGGCAGCCGCGGTCAGGAGGGGCCCCTGGCGGCACCTCCCTCCCTTGTGCTTCGCAGGCTCAGGATGGGGGTGGGGACAGGGACGATGAGGCAGAGGTTCGGGTCCCTGCAGGGCCCTGTGCAGGCCTGCAGAGCCGCCACAGAGCTCCTGCCCCCACAGACCTTCCGCGCACTGACAGACCCTGCAACCGTCGCGGCTGGCCATAGAGGTCGGGCCCAGCCCTCCCCGATCCCCCCCCGGGAATGGAGGCCCACGCTCACCGGGGAACAAGGCCAGCATCCCTCGTCTGCGCTCCCCGCCCTGATGTACCCCTTCCCCTGGGGAGCTCCGGTCCAGCCCCTGGGTTTGGGGATGGAGGCTTCCAGGCCCCAGGAGGTGTAAACCGAGGCAGGTGTGAGACGCGGCGGGCGGCGGCAGACGCCACAGGCTGGAGCCTGGGAAGACCGCACACATCGCAGCCTGTCTGCGGCTGGGGCTTCACTTCCTTTTATTAAATTTCCCACAAAGCCGTGCTGAGAAGCCCTTGGGTGATCGCAGCTGTGGAGCTGAGAACAGCGCGGCGCCCCAGTTGCACATCAGGCTCTTCGGTTTGCATGTGTGTGTGTGTGTGTGTATTTATTAGGCACCTACTGAATGCTGAGCACTGCACCAGGTGCTGTAGTGACATGGGAGACTTGGCCCTCACCCCTGGACCTCCCGTGAAGAGGCTGGGACGCCCATGGGTGATGAGCAGGGAATGAAAACCAAGGCTCCCTCTGGGCAGCTCTGGTTCCACACGGAGCCCAGGATCCCTGGGGAGCTCAGGGTGGGGGAGGAGGAGCAGGGGGTCTCATGGGCCTGTTTCCACGCAGGCCGAAGGGGAGGCTCAAAGTTGCCGGGCCTGGGCTGGGGTCCAGCTGTCTCTCGCCTGCCCACATCAGCCCGAGGTGAGCTGAGAGGCAGAGACCCCGTGGAGATTGCCGGGGAGTATCACCCTGAGAGGTGGCCACCACCAGGGGCTCAGTGCGTGCACTGGAAACCCGACCCCAGCGGGGAGGCGTGGACAGCTGGGGCCGCTCAGAGATGCTGAGGCGGTGAGGGCTCCCGGATGGACCGGTGCAGTTACTGGGGGCCTGGGTGCCCGGGGGAAAGTGTGCTCAGTGGCTCCTGGGCACACTCTCGCTCACCCCTGGCCCCTTGACCTGGCACTTTCCAGCCTCCAGAGCTGGGAGCCAGTGCGCTTCTGTTTGTCGTACGTCACCCGGTGCCTGGTGCTCTGTTACAGCTGCACCAACACTCAGACAGCCCGAGGGACAGACGCGTCCAGCAACACTGAGAAATTCCCAGTGACAACTCGAGACCTGGCCCATTATTGGAGAGACAGCAACACCCCGAGAGGCGGTCGTGACCGCCAAGAGGAAGCTGGCGCGCCCTGGCAGGTGGCCAGTGCCAAGGACTGGGCAGAGCTGAAGCCAGGAGCTGCAGACTCAACCCAGGGCACCCACGTGGGTGGCAGGAACTCGGTTCCTGGAGCCGTCAGGAGCCGGAGCCAGGTGTCAAGCCCGGGTGCTCCAACGTGGATGTGGGCATCTCCACTGCTACGAGAAATGGCAGATTCTGTAGGCCGGAGCCTCGTCCCGAGTGCGCCCTGCTCACCCGGCGCCCCACAGCCAACACCGCAGCCCCTCGCTCCTCCAGGGGTCGTGACCCAGTGACTCCCACAATGAGGAGCCTGGGAGTCCTGAGAAAAACAGGCTCTTGGGGCTGGCGTTGTGGTGCAGCTGGCAAAGCCGCCGGCTGCTCCACTTCTGATCCAGCTCCCTGCTAATGCGCCTGGGAAAGCAGCAAAGGACGGCCCAAGTGCTTGGACCCTGTACCCACGTGGGAGACCTGGAAGACGCTCTGGGCTTCTGGCTTCGCCTTGGGCCAGTCCCAGCCATTGTGACCATTTGGGGCGTGAACCAGCAGATGGAAGATCAATCTCTCTCTCTGCCCGCCACCACCCCCTGTACTCTGCCTTTCAAATAAATAAATAAATCTTAAAAACCAAAACAGAGCCAGCTCTTGGGCAGGTGCTGTAGGTCAGCAAGCAGCCCGGGTGCCTGCTGGGCACCTTCCTGCTCCACGGGCCCTGGTCCAACCTCCCCGCCCCCACCCCAGCCTTGAACCCCGGCCACAAGCCTGGACACCCAGAGTCCCTTATACGGGCCAGCAGCATGTGTCCTCCCAGGACGTGCCAGCAGAGAGGGGAGGAGAGCAGGGTGTGTGTAAGTATTGAGGAGGGAGCGGGGGACAGTGTGGCAGGTTGCTGCAGTGACAAGAGACAGTGTGTGAGGGCTGGTGCAGCGCGGCGCCAGGGGCTGCGTGCCATCCCCAAGGAGGGCCACATGGTGGTGCCTGCTGCACGCAGGTCTCCGTGGGCACCTGGCCTCTGGGTGCCCTCACAAGTCCCATTTCACGGGTAGATGTCTGTGACTCCTCCATCTGTCACAGCCCAGGGCACTGCTGCTTAATTAGGACTCAGCGCAGGCATGGGTACTTTCCTCTTTACAGCTCTGGAAGGGCCAGGGAGCCCGCAGGGGCCTGGCCTGTAGGGTAACCCCTCAGCCGTAGGCAGCCAGGCCAGCACGGGGCAGCCTCGTGGGCAGAGGTGGGCCGATGGGGCGGAGTCACAGATGCGCACCTGCCCTCCCAGGTGAGATGTACACCAGCGCCGCCCTCCGGCCTGCCAGGACGCAGAGACCTGAGTCACTGTCAGCTCCCGAGGGGGCCCGGGCCGCAGTTACCTACTCAAGGTCGCACGGCACGGAAGCACCGGCTCAGACTCCAACCCCAGACTGTCTGTCCCCAAAGTCCCCACCATTCCCACTGCACTGCCGAAGATGGGGCGGTGAGTGACGCCCCCAACCCCGGCCCGCCCCAGCCCTGCTGGTGGCCAGAGGCAGAGACCCCCGCCCCAGGCAGGGCAAGGGGAAGGGAGGGCTGAGGGCAGCTGACCTCCTGTCCCTGGGTCCCTGAAGGATGCTGGGGGAAACGGGGACTGTGAGTGTCCCCCATCAGCCCTCGGTGGGGAGGGGGCTTAGGTGGGAGCAGAGATGAGGACGCACGAGGCCCTGGGCTCTGACAATCAGGAGACTCCGCTCAGTGCAGCGGGGAGGCTGGGAGCAGCTGTGGCATCTCTGGCTTTGCTGATGTCCCAGGAAGGGGTAGACTCTTGCCCTCCAGGATGGGGCAGAGGTCGGGGGCCTGGACTTCAGCTGGAGGCCACCGAGTCTGCCTCTGGCTCCAGGGACCCAGCACCGGGCAGATACAGTGGAGACTGAACACTTCCCACCTTAGCCGGGCCCACCCTTGGCCAGGAGCCCCCTGCCTCTCCGAGCGGGCCCCACTCCCCATTCCTTTCCTCCTGCCACCTTTGCTCTGTGCCAGGGAAGGAGCCCCAGCCCCCACCCAAGCCCAACTCCCCCAGCCCAGGACGGCCCAGGCTGGCTCAGTGTGTGGGTGCTCAGGAGCCCAGGGCTGCCCCTGCTTAGGTCAGAGCCTGGAGCTGCAGGTGGACCACACGTCTGCTCTCTGGGGTCGGGGATGCCGGGAAGCCCCTGGCCATGCATGCAGGGGACCTTCCCATCCAGGAAGAGGTTCAGCACTGAGCCAGTGGCCGGAGGTCGGGCAGCCTGCGGAGGGTGATCCAGGGCCCGCCCAGAGCCCACCCAGCGCCTGGCTGCCTCAGCCTTTGCTGGGTGCCCCCGAAGCGCAGCCCTCACTCCACAGTGCCAGGCCCAGCCAACAGCTCCGGCTCCCACTCAGCTCTCTGACAGGGTCTCCGTCCCAGCCTGGGGCTCCCTGCCCCAAACGGCCCCACCGCAGGCAAACGGCTCTGACCCACCCACCCATCAGCAGGGCAGCCCCTCTGGGCTCAGCCTCACCTCCTCGTTGAGAATCTCCTGGCAGGCCGAGTAATTCACGCGGGCGGCCCAGCTGCCATTGGCCAGGCACTCCCGGTAGCCGTTGTCTGGAAAGAGAGGGCGGTCAGTGATGGAAGAACGGCCGGGCATCTGCGTGTCCGCCCCTCCCCTGGGGACGCAGGGCCGCCTGGCTGGGTGTCCGCAGTGAAGCTGTGGAAGAGAGCATCCCCTATCCCAGGGCCACTTCGGGCCCAGCTTCCTGCAGCACGCGGTCCCTGCCGTCTGGGGAGTGAACCAGGCCCTGGGTCCCACAGGGAGGAGACAGAGGGATGACACGCTCCGTGAGTCCACTCCGGCTCCAGCGCCAGGGGAGAAGTGGAGCCCAGAGCCAGCCCCACGGGGCCTCCCTCCCTGCAGACCCAAGCCCCAAGTCCCTGGGCCTGCAGCCCTGCCAGAGGCCAGCCGTGCTGTGTGAGTGGCCCCTGCCACGTGCCTCTCCTGTCCTCCCCTTCCCTGGGACTGTGTCAGCCTGGGGGCTGCCTCTGCTGGCAGAAACAGGACCAGAGGGAGGTGCTGGGGTGAGGGTGGGAGGCCTGTTCCCCACCCCCAAGAGGTCCCGCAGCCAGTGGGGACACGGGGCCAAGCTCCCCTGCCCTCTGCCTGCGGATCTGTGTCTCTGTGCAGCTGGCAAAGAGGCTGCTGGGTCTCTGAGCTGCAGGTCAGGGATCCGGTCCCCCAGGGGAGGGGGCCGCTGAGGGGCCCGGGAGCCTGGGGTCTCTGCCATGGACAGGAAGCCTGGGTTCAAATCCTGGCACCAGCCCGCGCCATCGAGCGACTCAGGGAGGTCACTTAACGTGCAGCTTCGTTCTCTGTAAGCCGCAGTGTCTCACGCACGGCTCCCCTTCTGCGCTCAGGTATTTTTAGTTAATGTGCAGGGCGCTTGGGACGGCACCTGGCGTGTGCCGTGAGCTGGTATTTTTATGATGGTCGTCTGCAAGCTGCGCTGACACAGCCTTACGTAAGAATCGGGACAGTCCTCGGCCCCTCCCCGCAGGGCTGCTGGGGGATGAGGGGAGCAGCCCTGCCCTGCACGGCCCAGCCTTCTCACGTGCGTGGGGGCAGGCCGAGGCGCTCCCGCAGGACACAGGCCCGGCCCGTGGGAGCGGCTGCGGCTGCGGGGAGGAAGCGACCTCCTTGCCTTCAGCTGCTGAGCCAGCAGTCCTCCGGAGGCTCACGGGAAAACGGGTATTTTTGGAACCTTGTCCTCCGCCTTTGAAGCCCGGGCGGCAGAAGGAGAAGTCGGGAGTCCCACGGCAGTGAGTGAATGGGTGATGGCCCCGCCCCAGGAGGCGGGCCCCACGCCGAGGGGCCCCACACACCCCTCCCAGCGCCTTTCCTGGGCCTGCAGAGGGAGCACCTGGCCCAACACCCCACCCACCCTGCAGCTAGAAAAACCGAGGCCCCGAGGCGACCAGTGCCAAGCGATGCAGCCGGAGGCGGGACTGGAACCCAGATCCAGCAGCTCACGCCCTGGCACCAAAGCCTGCAAATGCTGGGGCTGGGACTGGCCGAGTAGCCGAAGGGGTCCAGAGTGGAGTGCGCTCACCAGGGCTGGCCAGGCTGGGCCCACAGGAGCCTGGCAGGCCCAGCTTGGGGCACAGACTTGTCCCCAAGGAGCCACCGGAGGGTGGGCTCCGAGAGAGGATGGGACAGGGTCAGGGAGGAGGGTGCCTCGGGCTGGGGCAGGGGTACCGAGGGAGGAGACAGGCGGGCTCTGACACGGTAGCCCCTCTGAGGGCAGTGGCTGCCGTGAAGGAGAGCCGCCTCCTCCTGGAAGCACTCCCTGATGCACCTACCCTGGTGCTGCCTGCACCCTAGGAGAGTGGGGGTTCAGGCTCCCGGTTCTGACCCCGCCCCAGGCTCGGAGGTGAGCGGCCTTCTCGCTGTAAAACAGCCCCACTAACTCGGAGGCTGCGCTGTACACCCCCACCCTCCCCTGGAGCTGCTCTTGTAGGCCCCTTTCCCTGCCCGGGATGTCCCCCTTTAGTGCCCCTCCCCTCCTGGCTTCCCTCTCCTCCTGGCCCCTCCCATGGCCGGGACTCCTGCGGGACACGCAAAGCTGGCAGACATGGCTGCCCCCAGCCTCCTGTCCTGCCCTCCTGCCTCCCCAGGAGGGCCACAGCCTGTCTCCCGGTGGACCCCCCACCTCTCCTTGGCTCCAGCCCCCAACCTTAACCCCCTTAATCCACGTGGTAAGGACGGGCAGAAGGAGTTCCACCAATCCGAGCTGGAAGAAGTCGGAAAGGCTGTCCACATGGCCCTCTCTGTTCCTAGAGGGGGGCCCAGAGCGCCTGGGAGGGGACACTGGGCTCTGCGGCCACCCTTGGGTGCTGTGAACTCAGGGCTCCCAGGGCTGTGGGCCTCCTCCCTCGCTGGCCTGCACTGTCGCCATCCTGATAAGCCAGGGCCTGAGTCACTAACAGGGGAGAGCGAATGAGTTCCGGGGGTGGCAGGTGGCATAGCAGGGAGCTGCAAAGCCCAGCATGGGGCTTCGGGGCCTCAGGAGCCAGAGAGGCTCATGTGGCAATCAAACACTGGGACAGACCCCGGCTCCCACCCGACGCATGGGCCTGGGATGCTAGTCAGGGCCCTGGATCTAAAACCCTGGTCCCCTCGCCCGCTGGCTGGAGGGCCCTGGGCAGGCCCTGGACCTCTCCGAGCTCGGGGTTCTCAGCCACAGTGCAGGGGCCGCTCCGACAGGTCCTTTCTTGCCTCGTGGGTGTGCGCAGGCGCAGATGGGCTAACCCAGCCCGCCGCTGCTGCAGTGCCCGCCAGACCCAAGTGCGAATTCTCGCGACCTCCGGCCAGTTGCCTGAGCTCTCTGAGTGATGTAACAGTTGAGGGTCTTCTGGGGGCGTGGGGAGAATCATCAGGGATGAGCTCAGCAGAGCACAGAGCTGGCCTTGGGCAGACAGGGGCTGTCACTATCGCTCTTATTATCACTTCCCCCGCCTCCAGCCGCTCCCCCCTTACTTGTGGTGTTGTAGCGGACGCCGTAGAAAAAGGCAGGGCAGGGCCGAACCACGAGCTGTCCCGCGGGGCTCCGGGGCCAGCAGGTGCCAATGAGGTCCACAGATGCATTGCACTGCAGTCCTGGGGTCAGAGACAACAGGTGAGGCAGAGCACGATCCCCACCCAAGGCTGTAGGCAGGCACAGACACCCTCCCCCCACGCGCAGGGTCCTGCCCACCGCCCCGGTGGCCCACACTTACACACCAGCTCGGGGCAGGTCGAGAGCAACGACCCCAGCGCAGAGTGTGAACCTGATGCTATGGCACTAGGGAGCCAGTGTGAGCTCCAGAGCGGAGGAGGAACACAGACGGCTGCAGGTGGGGCTGAAGGCTGAGGTCCTGGCTGGCACGTGGAGGACTGGGCGTGCACCGGGTTCCCCGCTCTGTAGCCTGAGGACACTTCCCTGGGCCCCTCACTTGGGACAGACTGGAGCTCCCCAGGAACGCTCCGGAACAGGCCCTGCTGATCCCTGGCCCAGTCCCCAGGCCCCCTCTGGAACCAAACCATAGAAGCGAGCCCTGGTCCCGCAGGGGAGACCCAGCCAATGCTGCAGGCGGGCTTCCAGCCAGTCCTGCATCTACTGTCACTGAGCAAACCTCGTGTGTACCGTGCTCTACGCTGGGCCTTAGGGGAGGACTGACTGAGGAGGGGGTCTCAGGCGCAGGGCAGGGAGACCTCACCCAGGGAGTGGAAAAGCCTTCAGCATGGGCTCTGTTACACATTTGCTGTGGGGCCCTAGATAAATCATTTGCCCTCTCTGGGCCTTAGTGCTTCATTTGTAGTAAAATGAAATGGGACTAGATCAGACATCCTTAATCTCAGCCCATTAAAAGCTTCATGGCGGGGGGGGGGGGCTGGCGCTGTGGGGCAGTAGGTTAATCCCCCACCTGCAGCACCAGCATCCTGTATGGGTGCCAGTTCAAGTCCTGGCTGCTCTTCTTCCAATCGAGCTCCCTGCTGTGGCTGGGAAAGCAGTGGAGGATGGCCCAAGTGCTTGGGCCCTGCACCCACGGAGAGACCAGGAAGAAGCTCCTGGCTCCTGGATTGGTGCAGCTCCGGCTGTTGTGGCCATCTGGGAAGTGAACCAGCAGATAGAAGACCTCTCTGTCTCTCCCACTCATTGTCTGTAACTCTACCTCTCAAATAAATAATAAATAAAATCTTAAAGTTTCATGGGTTCACAGAGACTCAGAATATAAGGAAAAACAGGGCGTGCACCTGCGTTTTAATGGGCAGAAGGGCCTACAGCTTTTGTGAGATTCCCAGAGTTCAGTGACACACGGGAGAGGTGAACAGCTGCACCAGGAAGACGGCGGCCAAGGCCCTCTCCACCGCTCACCCTTCATGGAGGCCACGTCTTGCAGAGGAGAAGTGGGGGGCACAGCTGAGCCTCTCAGGATGCACCAGTTGGGGGTTGGGGAATGGTGTCCCCCAGGCATGGGCTCTGCAGCCCAGCACCGTCCCGGGACCTCTCCCGATGCTGCCCCTTCCTTCTCTGCCTTCCTCTTGGCACGGGGCTGTTGAGACCCAGGGTCCCCGTCATGGTGGCAGGGGGTAATAACCTGGCACTGGGGGCTGGCGATGTGGCGTAGTGGGTTCAGCCGCCACCTACAGTGCCGGCATCCCATGTGGGCACTGGTTCTAGTCCCAGCTGCTCCACTTCTGATCCAGCTCCCTGTTGTGGCCTGGGAAAGCAGTGGAAGATGGCCCACGTCCTTGGGCCCCTGCACCCACGTGGGAGACCTGGAAGAAGCTCCTGGCTTCTGGCTTCAGCAGCCATTTGGGGAGTAAACCAGTGGATGGAAGACCTCTCTCTTTCTCTCCCTGCCTCTCTGTAGCTCTGCCTTTCAAATAAATAAATAATTAATTAAAAAAATAAACAAATAACCTGGCACTGGCACAGGAACGTGCACACCAGCTCAGGAGAGCCAGGAAGCAATGTGGGGAGGCAGCCTCTCCAGGGCCGGGCACCGGCAGCTGCCAAGCCCTTGCCTCCCCACATGAGCCTGGCCCCCATCGCTCAGAAAACAGTGCCGGGTTAACCTGGCTCCTCTCCCTTGCTGGATCGGCAGTGCTGAGCGGCACCGGCTTCTCCTCATCAAAGCTACTCAGAGGGAGCCGGTGCAAAGCAGGGCTCGGAGCAGTGGGCTTCAGAGAAAGAAATCGGGGTCTGGGCTCCAGGGCACGGAGGATGTGAGGCCACAGGTCAGTGCTGGGGGGGTCTGCTCCCTGGCCCCCCAACCCCTACCTCTAAGGTCCCTGTTCCCCTCTCACAGATGAGACAGTGGGGCCGGGGGAAGCTGACTGACCTGCCCACGGCCGCAGCCAAAGTGAGGAGCAACCGAGACAGGTGGCCAGGCGGATTTCACTCTCGAGTCAAGCGCCCTTTCTGGTGTCTAATACCCGTGTCTGCGAAGGTGACAGGAGATGGCGGCAGCATCCGCTGAGGGCTGACCGGGCGCCAAGTGCTTTACACAGAGGAAACGCAGACAACAAAGATGCCTCGGCCCGATGGAGCGGAGTAAGACCCTCACTGCTCAAGCACGTGGGCGCCTGCCACCCAGGAGGGAGACCAGGATGGAGTTCTCGCTCCCGGCCCTGGCCTGGTGAACCAGCAGGTGCGAGATCTGTCTCCCTGTTTCTCTTTGTGTCTTTCAAATAATAAACAAACACATTTTTTTTTGACAGGCAGAGTGGACAGTGAGAGAGAGAGACAGAGAGAAAGGTCTTCCTTTGCCGTTGGTTCACCCTCCAATGGCCGCTGCGGCCGGCGCGCTGCGCTGATCCGAAGGCAGGAGCCAGGTGCTTCTCCTGATCTTCCATGGGGTGCAGGGCCCAAGCACTTGAGCCATCCTCCACTGCCCTCCCGGGCCACAGCAGAGAGCTGGCCTGGAAGAGGAGCAACCGGGACAGAATCCGGCGCCCCGACCGGGACTAGAACCCGGTGTGCCGGCGCCGCAAGGCGGATGATTAACCTATTGAGCCGCGGCGCCGGCCAACATTTTTTTAAAAACACACCGAGGCTGAAACAGGGAGAGGCAGACGACAACGGGTGGAGAGAAACACCTGTCAGAGGCGCTGGGGTTGGGGAGGGTGAGGACAAGGCAGAAGTCCCCCTATCACTCAGGCTGCTGGGCAGATTCCTGGACCACAGCCCCCTGCAGGGCCCACCGCCACGAAGCCCCACCCCTTCTGCTGTCCTGGGGGTGCTTTCCCAACCTGGGGAGAGAGGAGCAGTTGGGACCAGAACAAGAGGGTCTTGCAGATAACCACTCCCACTGGACGACCCCGCATTGGAAGGCTGAGCGGTTAGGAGCCACTGCCTCCCCACAGCGCACCCTCCTGGTCACTTAAGGTACTGATGGGGAGGAATGATTTCTCTGAATTCAGAAGCACTGAGCGATGGGGATAGTCATGGATCAAATAAAAGCCCTGCCAACGGTGTTTGCATTTCCTGGGAAAGACAGCAAGCGAGCCATCAATCAGCCAGCGAGAAGGACAACGGAGTGAGACGACGCGTAGGGTGGTCAAGGAGGTGCTGGGGTAATTTGACGGCCTCTAAAATGCTACCATTTCAGCGGAGAACCAAAGGATGCGATGGAGGAGCCGCGTGCACACCTGCGGAAAAGTGTTCCAGGCAGAGGGAACAGCAAGTACGGAGGCCCTGAGGCAAGCATGCTCTTGGTGTGACCAAGGTGCTGACGCTGCTGCCACCCCACGGTGTGCCGGCTCGTTCACGGCCAGCTAGATCCTCTCAGAGATCGGCCCACTCAGCATGGTCAACAGCGGCCCTCGTGCGAGAACAGAGAGGGGCTAAGTCACACCTAGCAGGGGTCCTGCAGCTTCCTCCGAGCCCACACGTGCACAGAGCACAGCTCCTGGGCGCCCTGGGCTCAGAAGCGAAAGAAGGCGAGAGGGCAGCAGTGTGGAGGGCACCCGTCATCTCTGAGCCCCCTGCCCTTCTGTGCCAGGGGCCCGGGGGCTGCTTAACGGACAGTAGGAAGCCTCTGAGTGGTGCTTGCGCACACTGGGCTCTGGCTTCTTCCCCCACCACGCTTAGGGTCCCAGCATGCTCTGCAGGTGCTTCCAAGGGGGGAGACTCCAGCGGGGCCCTGGGCCCCGGACCCTGCCCCAGTGACATGGAGTCTCCTGGCAGGGGCTTCCGCACGAGCCACAGGGCAGGTGGGCGCTCGGCGGTACCCCGCAGCTGTGAAGCCCACCCCTCCCGCATTTGGTCTCAACCCAGGAGAGGGGCTCAGCCAAGGCTGCCCACGGGAAGCAGCCAGCAGCCCCGGGCAGCCGCTGTTGCCCGCTCGGAGGACTGTGCCGCTGGGCTGAGGGGCAGGCGCTGTGCCCGGCATGGAGTGGAGGCGAGGGGACGTGGGGAGCCTGCTCTTGGCCTGGCTGGCTGGGGGTGGGCAGAGGAGGGAGATGCCGGTGCAGGGTGTGTGGTGCGTTGGGACAGGCGGGTGGGAGTTCGGAGACTCTGCCAACACCTGGTACAGTGCCAGGCGTGCAGCAGGAGCTGAGGCAAAGCGGAGCCCGACTCGGCCGACCCCACGTGGTGACCCTGCACCCCCCAGCCGGCCGGCTGCACTGCCCTGGGCCCCGTGGCCCTCCGGGTGGCCGCATAACGTGGCGCTGGTGTAATGAGGCCCGTGTGGCTGGAATCCTGGGGCCAATGCTCAGCACCTGTGGGTGCCTGGGCGGCTTCACCTCTCCGAGCCGCAGGCTCCTCTGCTAAGCGGAAGTCGGGAGACTTGCTGACTGCGCTGTCAGGATGATGAAGACCAGAGCCTCACCATTCAGGGTGGGCGAGTGAGGACTATTACCATCCTCTACCGCCAGCCCGGGGCCGGGGCGGCCGACTGCGCCGTGGGGCGACACCCCGGAGCGTCTGGCTCGTCCTGCTTGCCCTCTGGGTTTATGAGCTCTGTAGCTGTGATCTGAGACGGGATGAGGCCTCCGGCGGGGGACCCACTCTCTCCCTGCACCTGGCACCAGTCCCTAAGGCCGTGGCTTGGTGCCAGCTGCCCTGGCCAGACGCCCGTCCATCTGTCCTGGCCCCTCTGCCCACCCCACCATCTGTCTCCACCAACGCCCATCGGGGTAGGTCTTGGTGTCAGAAGACAAATGGCAGCTACCAGAGGCCGAGGTGAGGGTGACGGCTCGCCTGCCGGGGGCCGGGCGGGCAGGGCCTGCGGCTCTGAGTACAATGCAGGAATGCATTTGTCCTGGCCGGTGGCCTCCAGCACGGGTGACACCCGTGTGGCTCAGGGATGTCACTCTTCTGGAGCCTGACCTGGCCTGGAGCAGCGGGGGGCGGGGCCCAGCCTCCCCTGCTCCCCGCCCCCTGCTAGAATGTCAGACCCTCCTTCAAGAACTTAACTTACCCATTTCCCATGGCCTGGCCTGACCAGCTCTGCAGCCAGATGCTCCAGGCTCCCAGCACCTCCTCCCCTCACCGGCCCCCCGCCAAACCCACCCCCTCGTCCTCAGTCAGCCCTGGCTTTGGCTCCTCTGCCAGTCACATAGAAGAGGCTCTCTCAACAACATGCACCTTGAAACCTCTTCCTTCAGGAAGCCTTCCCAGATTTGCACCACTCCTGTCCTCGCCTCCCTACCACCTGCACTGTGGTGAGCCCCTGGCCTTCATCCAGCCAGACAGGAAGCAGTGTGCAAAGCCTGCTGAAGTTACCAACAACGGTAACACCCATACCACAGCTGGTGGGACACTGCATAGAACTCGGTGCAATTGTTCCCCTAACAGACGCTTGAGACAGGTGTCACTGCCACCCCCAATTTACAGTGTGCGTGAGGCTCAAGGGACTCAGGGCTGCTCATTCCTGTGGCTACCGCGCCCCCGGCTCCAAGCCAGGGCCGCACCGAGCACCTGCTAGGAGCCGCACAGGGACCGGGCCTGTCTTCTCCAAGTCCAGCGCTCACCCCATCAGCCTGGGGCCGGGAGGCAGCAGCTCTGAGGTGGGGAGCTTCTTCTCCCCGCAGGCCCAGTTCCGAAACGCCCGCCTCCCGCCTCCCTGCTGACACCCTGTGTCTCTTCCCTAGCCGCTGCTCACAGGACTTGTGCTTGTGTACTTGACCCCTTTCTGCTCCCCCGTGACTTACGAGGCCAGGGCGGGGGGCGCTGCTGTGTAGCAGGTGCTCCGTGAACACACGGAGCAGAGACCGGAAGAGGAAATGAACCAGCAGAGACCCCTGGGTGCCAGCGGCAGCCATGGCCAGGGCCACACCCAAAGCTAGGATAGTCTTGGCCTCTGGAGTCCACGCGCCAGACGGCAGGGCCCCGGTGCTGGCTGTGCGGTGCTGGGCCGTGGGTAGAGCTCTCTGTGCCCCGGATTCCCCGTCTGTGGAGACGCTGGGTTTTGACTCTCATGGGAACGAATAAAGAGAGCCCTGGAAACAGTCGGGCTTCACGGGCAGGCGGGCGTCAGCAGTCCCGCAGTGGCGCAGCGCCCCCTGCCCAGGAGGCGTGGAGCAGGGCGCCACGGAGGCCCCAGCACCCGCGGTGCTCCTCTGTGCCTGGGTTGCGAGGGTAACAGCCTGGCTCAGCCTAGTCCAGCTCAGCTGCCTGCCCCGGTGCTGCACTTGGGGCCGTTCAGGCAGCAGGGAACAGCGGCCTTCCTGCCTCACCCGGCTGCACCTGCTGCACGCCCCTCCCGGGGCCGCGGCAGAGGCTGCTAACCCATCAGGGTGGGCTTGCCCCCCACCCTGGCGCCCAGGCAGCATCCACACAGCACTCCTTGGAGAACCCCCGGGCGCCCTGGAGAGGCGCGCTGCCTGCCTTGGGAGAGTGGGAGAGTGTGTGTGTGTGTGTGTGTGCGCGCGCGTGGGTCCTGCGAGACCAGAGCCACATTGCAGCCACGCGGGATCTCGCAGGGGCTGACGGGAAGCTCACCGGAGACGTTGCTGGCCGGGGACAGGCTCTCGCAGTGCTGGTCCTGGAGGGAGGCAGACACGGGGTTCAGCCCCAGGAGGAGGAGGGCCTGCGGGCACAGAGAGGCGGGGGACACAGTCAGGCTGGTGCCAGGGGGAGTCGGGCCTGCAGCTTCCTGCCCCCCCCCATGGCAGATTCTTCCCAGACACCCAGTCTTCGTGGCCTCGGCCTCTGTGGCCTCTGCCTGGAAGGTCTGGAGCTGCCCCAGTCGCGGGGAGGCCGGTAAAGGAAGGAGTTCCAACCTCCACTGGGAGAGAAGTGAGTTTTCTGCCTGCAGACTGGGGCCGCCACCAAGGCACGTGCGCATGCCCCCTCCCCCACGCTGTCTCCCACCCGCCCACCGAGCACCTGGGTGCCCAGACCCTCATCAGCCTCCTCCTCCCCGCCACCTGCAGGTGCTCTGGCCTCTTGCTTAATGAGCTGCTCCCGGGCCCTGGGCCCCACCCCGCTTATTCCCCATCACTACAGTTGTGCCTCCCTGGGGCCTGCGCGGCTGATTTGCAGGTGAGGGGATGAAAAGTGCCTACAAAAAAGGCCACCCTATTCCTCCAAGAGCTTTCGCTGTTGAACCGCCTCCCGGGCTCCGAGTCGCTCTCATTCTGGAATGCAGCCCCACTGGGACGGCAGCCGTACAGGCCCTGTGCCAGGAGGGGCCCCTCTTCAGGAGCACCCATATCCACACACCCCCCTCCAAAAAGATAAAAACCAGACTATTCAGTAAAGAGCTGGGCCACCTGAAACGTTGGGCAGAAGGAACAGTCAGGATACAGAAGTCGTGGGGCCGGCGCTGTGGGACGATGCCAGCATGCCATGTTGGTGCCTGTCTGAGTCCCGGCTGCTCCACTTCCGATCCAGCTCCCTGCTAATGCGCTTGGGAGAGCAGCTGAAGATGCCCCAAGTGCTTGGGCTCCTGCCCCCACGTGGGAGACCCGGATGGAGTTCTAGGCTCAAAGCTTTGGGCTGACCCAGCCCCAGCCATTGCAGCCATTTGGGGAGCGAACGAGAGGATGGAAGATTTCTCTCTAACTCTGCCTTTCAAATAAATCTTAAATTTTTTTAAATACTGAAGTCTCATTTCTGGTGAGTGCTGCCTCCCACACTGCACTGGAGGAGGAGGAGGAGGAGGCCTCGCTCTCCTCCCCCCTCTCAGGGGGGCTCCTCCACCCAGCCCCTCCCTGCACCAGGACCTCACCGCGGTCCTGAGAAGCACACTGCCCACCTCCCTTCTGGCGGGAGACCCCACCCACCCCACCCCATGACGCAGGCACGCTCTGCCCCTCGCCCTGCCCTGGGCCTGCCCGGGTGCCTCTCCTAGTCAGAGCCTGGTCCCCTCCACCTCCTGTACGAAGAAGCGCCTGGACCCTGATACCAGCTGTGCTGCCCCCCCCCAGAGCCTGCCTGAGCATTTCATGGCTTGCTTACTCCAGTCCTGTCCCGTTGTGGGGGTCTCTGCTCTCACGGCACCAAGCCCTGGTCTCCCAAGCACCCCCAGCCCTGCGTCTCCCCCTCCCCCGTGCTGAGCCCCGGGATCCCTCCCGGCGATGGCTCCGCGGGCTCCCCAGGGATTGTAACAAAGGCGTCCATCTCCCCAGCCCCAAGGAACGCCCACACTTTATTAATCAGTAATTAAACTTCAGAGTCTCCAGAGAGACGGGGAAATAGCTTTACTCCCGAATTCCACACGAAAGTGCGCACATGGAGACAGGAGGGAGCCCTGGATAGGACGCCTGGGTGGCTGGCAGAGTGCCCGGGGCCCACACCTGCTCCTGTTGCAGCGTCCTGCTGAGGCAGGCCCTGGGGCCTGCACTGTGGCCTCAGCTCACCCGCTGCGGGTGTTTCGGGGGTGAACCAGTGGTGGGAGCGTTCTCTCCCCCAAATAAAAACAAAAATTCATACAGAAGAATCACTCTGCAGACGCCCAGGCTCTGCTCAGTCCCCAGAGGCAGGCAGCCAGCTGCCATGGCCAGGGGTCCCTTCTAGAAGGACTCAGAAGCCCTGCCCACAGCGTCTCACCCGACCCCTGCCCACTACCCACCTCGTGCACCCAGAAGCAAAGGCGGCCCAGCCACAGGCGAGTTAGCAAAGGCACACAGGACCCTGCTGACCATGGTTCTACCCTGCGGCCTGCTCCACCTCACTCTATGCACACACAACCACCAGGTCACCTCCCCTGCACGCTGGCTCCTCCCGGGTCTCCACACCCCTGCCGCTGCCGTTCTCAGCCCCCTCCTCACCTCGTGAACTCTGCAGTCCCAGGGCGCACCCTCTCACCAAGCCCCCCAAAGCAAACGGCTCCCAGCCCCCGTCCCCAGTGCACAGGACATGCCCTGAGCCATGTGCCCTCGAGGCTCCCAGTGGAGGCCTTGGACTTGTCCTGAACGCGCACAAAAGCCACCTGACCACAGAGCCCTCATGTGTCCAGGCTGGACAGAGATGGCAGACACAGAAGTCCCCAGGGCATCTCAGCATCCCAGGGGTCACCGTGCGGCAGACAGAAAACCAACACGAAGCCGCAGAGATGGGGCTGAGGCGTCCTGGCAGCCGGGGTCCCTGACACTGCTCAGCGGGGCGGTTCCCAAGGCCACTGTCCCCCAGCGGAGGCCAAGCCCCCGGCTGCTGAAAGTCCCCACACCAGCCCTTCCCCCCAGAAAGGGCGGCCCCTCAGCAGAGGCTGGGCCACGCGCCTCTCATGCTGCCCGCGGACCACAAAGGTGTCCGGCTCATTCCTGAGTGGCTGTCCTTCCACAGGAAGTCCGGGCTGCTCCTGCGTGTCCCCGGGCGGCGGCCAGGGCACTGTGCTCTCTCCTGCTCCTGGGGCACTCACACACTACAGTCTTGCTGTGCCCCAGCTGGGCAGGCCCCAGTTAAAGCCTGTGCCTGGGGGTGGGTGCTGTGGCACACTGGGGTGAGCCACCACTTGGGGCACCTGCATCCTGCCTTTAGCAGAGTGCCTGGGATGGTGTCCTGCTTTTGCCTCCGCTTCCAGTTCAGCCCCTGCTAATGTGCTTGGGAGGCAGCAGATGATGGCCCAAATACCTGGGTTCCTGCCACCCACATGGGGGACCTGGATGGCGTTCCAGCTCCTGGCTTTGGCCTGGCCCGGTCACTGCTGTAGCAAGCATTTGGGGAATGAACCAGGAATGGAAGATTCTCTCTCTCTCTCTCTCTCTCTCTCTCTCTCTCTCTGTCACTTTGCCTTTCAAATAAATGCATCTTTTTTAAGGATTTATTTACTCAAGAGGCAGTTACAAGGAGAGAGAGGAAGAGAGAGAGGGGTCTTGCATCCACTGGTTCACTCCCCAAATGGCCACAATGGCTGGAGCTGCGCTGATCCGAAGCCAGGAGCCAGGAGCTTCTTCCGATCCCCCACGTGGGTGCAGGGGCCCAAGCACTCCAAGGCAGTGTCTTCCACTGCTTTCCCAGGCCATCAGCAGAGAGCTGGATGGGAAGCGGAGCAGGTGTCACAGGAGGGAGCTCCAACTGCTGTGCCACAGGGCCAACCCCAAATAAACACATCTCCAAAACCAATCCCGCGTCTCCTCCACAGCCCTGCAGAACCGCACCTTACAGGCAAGATCTGAGCAGGCCACAGGCGCGCGGCAGCTGGGCTCCAGCACCGCTGGCAGGATTGTCCCAGGAGGCAGGGCTCCTGGCACAGGAGGGCACTGCACCGCCGGAAGCAGACGGGGCAGGCTTCACTTTACAGCTGGGGTGACAGACACGGCCAAGGTCACAACCTGTTCCGAGCTAGGATCTGGTAAGCGGGGAGCCACGTCTGCCCTTAAAGCCGAGGAAGGACACGGGAAGTGGCCAGGCCCAGGCTCAGACACGAGGGACGGGCGAGCGGAACGGGGCGGCTGCGGGGCTGAGCCTGGCAGCCGCCTGCCCCTGCCCCCGCCCCCGCCCCCCCCAGGCCACCCAGGCTGCCATCCCAATTCCCAGTGTGACTCTGGCATAAAGGTTAATCACACCCGGAAAATGCTTATTAGCAACCATAAATAACTGCGTTGCTGGGGCTTGGGTTGGTCTTTAAGGCACAGGAGTGCCATTTCCTTTGATGGGAAGATTCGGTGACTAACCTTTCGGGAGGGTCCTGAAGGGCCCCTGGAAGAGGGGGAGCCCTGGAAGCAGCTGGGGCTGCCCCCCCAGAAGTTCCTGAGGACCAGGAGGGGGCCAGCCTCTCCCCTCCCCTCTCATAATAGCCCCCAGGGGTCAGGTGCGTGCTGACCTGACAGAGCCAGGCCACAGTCCGATTCCCCACCCAGTCATGCCCCTCCGGGACTCAACTTTCTTATCTGTGAAGTGGGGACGCTGGAGTCACAGGGATGGGGACCAGCTGGGGGGACGGAAGAAAGAGATTCCTCCAATAGTGACAGTCCCTGGCAGACAGGTGTCGGTGGGGCTCCCCGGGGCGGCAGCTGCTAGAGCGAGGCCAAGGCTGGAGGGGCCCCTCCCACAGTGCTCCCCCTCCCACAGCGCCCCCGCTCGGGCAGGCGGCAGCCCCACGCGTTCCTGTGGGGAGGGGGCTTTTCGGCTTGAAAGGAGAGCTGGGGATTTTTCGTTTGAGACCACCAGATTTCAGGGGCTCTGCAAGCCTCAGGCTGGGGTTCGTGATCTGGGGAAAAGAGACGGGAACCCAGAAGAGCCGAGGGTCAGACACACCCCACACAGGAAGGTGAGAACAGCGGGGCGGAGCCGGGCCCGGAGCACAGCACAGGCTTCCTGAGGGGCTGAGCCGAGTGGACGCGGCCGGGAGCAGGCGAGCGGGGACTTCCAGGCTGCTGGGTGGGCGGGGGGCCTGTGAAGGAGCCAGCAGGCCCGCACCTAGGTAGCCCCTCGCCCCTGGCTCCATGCCTCTCAGTGGCTGGGGCGGAAAGTGAGGCTTTCGAGGTATAGCAGAGTGGAGACACCTGCTCCCAGGAGGCCGCTTCAGGGCCAGGCTGCACCTTGCTGCCTTCCCTGGCCTGGGGTGGGGAGGGGGGCGGCTGTGGGGCCTGATTCCCTAGGGAGGCCCAAATGGCAGCCCTCGCTGCTGACCCCAGGCAAGGC